CGGTCAGTTACAACTTGCCCGCACTTGCAAAAAGATGAGAGGTTGTTTCGTGGAGCAAATTACCTTAATGTTCACGTCAAAAAATTAAGTAAGTTTACAGAAGAAAACATTGCCTTCATGACAGCCTTCGACAATGTATAAGTGGCTACTACCTCACAAAAATAACTAAAACAAGATGCTCTTGTAGAGAAAGAGCGGGGCTGCTCATTTTCTGTGGACCTGTAAAGCTCTATGATCCACTTTGACATGCAGCAGGAACAAAAGTAGGTGTTACTTCTGCTGAATAGATTTACTTCTTAATGAATGAAACCACAAATAATAAAGGCGAATTGCGAAAGTTAAAGAGATTCAAATTTGCACTTTTTGGTTTTTTTACATTTATCTATAAGAAGAGATGCGGGATGTCTATGAAATAGGTCACTTCAAAAAGCTGACATAGAATTCTACTGGAGAACAAAACCAGATAGAACTAGTTGGAAACGTCTATATAAGAGTTACCAAAGCATTTTTCTGCACAATAACTGCTATAACTAGTCGAAACATAAACTTGATTAGAAAAGAAACTATAGGATGAAGAATCCCAGGATCGTACATTAGTGCGACATCTCTAGTTGTGCTTTTTTTTATCCAGACAACGCGATGGGTTGGGTCGCGTGGATTAGTCGACAACCGGATTGATGCGCACCATTGGAGTCAGTGCTGAAACGGTGCAGTCTGAGTAATATCAACTAGGATAGTTTTCACAGAACTCTTCGGATGATATATCTTTCATATAGACGTGGAGACGTCGAGCTTTGCCTGCACTTCTCTACGATTAGCTGTAGATGGTTGAGACCGAGAAACGAGTTCCAAAATGTCCCATTCTGCTCCGTCGTTAATTGCCCTTCTTACTTTCGTCCACTAGCTAAGTCCAACCTGAAATTTTTTAGACCGTGCCTTATAAAATGTCTGTCATATGTGGTAAAACAAAGTCTTGTGTAACCGTTCCATTCCTTCGGTACTCAAACATAAACAATTTGAAGTGATCTGGCCTATATTCTGTAGTTCATCATTTTATTCCAGCAGAACGCTAAACATAATGTTTACTTTTTATTTTCTGCGTCTACAATTTTCACGGCAGGATATTGTACGAAATCCAACCACATCGGTGCCGAGATATTTGCAAAACTCCGGATCGCACGTGTCTGCGGTGGGGGACGAACGCGTTATTGTCCTTTCCGGGGAGTAACGCGTTCACCATCACACCATGCAGGTTCTTCGTTTCGCCTGTCTCTCAGCTAGTTCTATCGATCTGTGCCGTCAGCAATCACCCATCAACGGAATTGATCTGGAGAGCCCATATCGGCATTGAACCTAGCTAAGCTGAGGCTAAATGCAATATTTTTAAATTTCTTATATTCTGATCTTAACCATGAGCACTAAAGTATCCCTCAACTTCACGCATTAATATCAATGCGTGTTTTCTAATCCGGAGCTTTACTTTTGCCTATGGAGACTCATTGAGTATTACAAATGTATTATATGAATAGACATATTTATATATATGTACAATTGCAGAGGCTGTGGGCTATTTATGGTTTGCATTGCCGTGAATGATTAAAAAAACCGTTCGACGTTGAATTACCTTTCCTTTCTTTTATGTTTCATGGAGTAGAAAGCTAAAAACTTTATTCGCATAATTGTGAATCCGGTGGTATTTGTAAAGCTTCAGATGGAAGACTATTCCACTTTTCTTTAAAAAAGTGGCTGATAGACTCGAATAGATTTACCTGTAAATATGCTCGTTAACACCCTCGAGATGAGTGACCTCTAAAGGTGTCATAATGAAGTCACTTCAGTAGTCGGTGTGACATTTATAGGTGTCACAGTGAGCATAAGGAAATACTAGGCGTCGTACACTTTGCAAAGAAGCAAAATCAAGCGTCGTCGCTGGAGTGCTGAAAAGCAACCTAGTGAAAACGTCTAGTAATAACAATCCACTACTAAACAAACGTCTGAAATAAATAGAAGTAATAAAAATGCATCAGCCCAACGGTAAATTCCAGAAGTTTGCGGTTACAAAATTCCTCCTATTTAATCGATTTAGGCCGATCTGGGAGGCGACTTTTTTTCTTGAAGACTGATACACAGCAATAAAATTTCAGCTAAACGAAAACATCCAAGGCGGTTCGCAACTGAGAAAATATCACTTCACAAATTGCACAATGACATGTTTACCAGTATTAAAATGAATTCACAAGCACAATCATGATGAAAACTTCAATTGAATCTGTCCAACTACTTTCGTAATTTCTTCAAGATTGTCCAAGGCTATTTAGTCGCTGCTTACGGATGTTTCTCACTTTGTCTGTGACGGTTTTTACTGAGAATCTTCTCTATCTCATTAAACAAAATGTAGCTGTGCTTTTCTCATACCCTCAATGATTGATAATCGTAGTGTGTGTTTGCCCTTTGTTAATGATTAGATGAAAGTTTAGCCATTGAAGTTTTAACTTCGAACCTCGGCACAAATAGAAACCTCGTATGGTAGCTTTGCAGAGGACAAGCAACAACTACTGAACAAAGCACGAAAGTGTTCTATCAGGTTTTCCATTACAACAATAAAGGTAGGAGTTGCCTAAAATTCAAAAAATGCATATGAGATGAACAGTATTGAAAATTATGAGTGCACCATGCACTCGACTCCATCAAGGATCGTAAAGGTGACTGAATGCGCGCTTGTTTTAATTATAAGGAGCTATTATCGTATCATGGAAGGATGGAGGCCCTGGTTTATCCAAAGCATACAAGGATCGAACCAAAGACGGCGTGCGTATTGAACGGCACCTCCAACATTCGAGACACGCGAACCCTTGGATTCAGGTTGCACGTTAAAATCAGAATGCTTCAGTCACGTAGTTGTCATTGCTTTCATTTCCGCTTTAACGGTTATGGGAAATTGTTATCAGTGTATCTGAAGATTTTACTTCGTGAGTGCAATGTAAATTAAACGAAACAAGCAACACCTTTAATGCAACTTTCGTATTCGGAAGGTAACGCTAAGAAAACCTCATACCTATCAACTGTGTACGGGTAACAAGTAACGCAACCCTTCCCTTCCTTTTCGTTGAAGCGAAAACTTTGACTCATCGCTTGTTCAGTGCAGCCTCAATGCATCTTATTCTCAAGTAGATCATTTAGAAAGGAAAAACGGAGGATACAAAAAATGCGATGAAATTTTACAATCGTAGCGTGCTAAGAGTCTGGTATATTGTGGCAAGTATTTAAATTATAATAGACTGACTCCGTATGGTACAAAAACTAATAATGTTTCAAGATAGTAAAAGTATTCGTTTCCAAAGCATCGAAAAAAACACCGGAAGTGGAGAACCAAACTTCCAGAAACCACCGGAAGTTTCTGCTGAATTGGTGTTCCGTGAAAGTAAATGGTATTGAAATGGTAACGTAAAATTATTATAACTAGTGCACTGTCCAGTTAATCCACACTACGATATGGTTTTCACGATTGCTTACTCACTGCATCCATAGGTTTTTTACCACGATAGTCTAATAAATAAAAAAATATAAGTATGTGTCAACAGAGCTGAAGCAAAAGGAGTTCCCTAATCGTAACTGCTTAGATAACCCACCTAACGGTTTACAGTATCGTAGCAAGTGAGTGATCCTTGGTACGGATCCGCGAACTGTGCAATGCAACTCATCCTATAGTGTATTCGCCTAAGTTCCATGTTTCCATCAGCATGGTCACCTATGGGCGACTATGTGCTGCGAAAAATCCAAAGCAGTTTCTGTGCCTACCTTCTCACTAGAATCAGTAAATGACAAAAGTTGCACTCCTCGCTTGAGAGGAGCTTGATAGGCGACGCAACTATGAGTATGATGGACAATTTTCGCATTATTTTTTCCTTTTTTTCTTCAAATTTTTTCTTCCTTAACATGTTAGTATTTACTTTTCCACTTTTCCTCTTTCGGTAATCTCTCCTATGTCGATAGGTTCCATGGGCATGTATTTATTAATTAATATTAATTATTTGCTTCATATGACTAAAATCGTAACTATTCAAATTCTAAGAGGGTATGTTTGACCTGAAAAGACAGTTCTGAAATCATAAAGAAAGCTTCACGCAATTTTTACGGTGAAAATAACAACTACTACTTCATCAATAGATATAAAGTGACTGGAATGTACTAAGTTCTTCCAAATCTGCTTCAAAATCCAAGATTCGAGCTATCTGTGGGTGAAATTTATTTAAACTTTTTTGAAGTAAACGCTCAGCCTTATTACTTACGGTTGACTTTAAGCCATTTCTCAGCTCTTTTCACACGCAAATTTAACACATTTACACTTTCATTTAAATAACAGTTTATTCTACGCTATTAAGTTGATAACACGTGATCGATGATTCGATCTCGAGAGCACGAACTGAACACGCCGTCTCCATTTCTCGAGTCAGCAAAGTGGTACCTGAGTTGTCTGAGAGGAAGAAACGATAACTTGATAGATCGATGCTCTCCCAAGTGTCAATTTAAATCTCAAATAAGCATTCGTTCACTCCGAAATGCTTAGACGAGTTTCCTGCACATCGAATTCCCAAAGAATGCCTCAGCGCTGAACCCTTTACCCTCTAAAATTTGTTTGGCCTTTAGTCTACTATAGAGCACCTAAGATATTATCTGATGATCTTGCAATTAACGGCTCCACATTCAGCAGTAAAAAGTTCTCCAACCACCACAATATCGGTGGACAACCATCGCTGCACATTAAATGAGTTGCAACCTCGTTTGATGTTGATGGTCCTCCATAATGATAATTTCAGCTAGAGCAAATGAACAATAGAAACGTTAGAAGACTTCCCTTTCATAACGCCTTCTTTTTCCTCTTGTTTTATTATGACATCATGATTGTTACCCAACCCAATAAATATGCAAACAATTCTAACACACTTTATTCCAATGACACGTAATTTATTAAACAATGTATATTTTTTAGCGGGAGCCGACTATCCAAAACGAATGAACTCGTTCTTGCGCTTCTCAACTGAAAACAGAATTTCTAGCGAACTCGTAAAAAACTAGCGTCAATTGATTTTCATGGAGTGTCCTACCTACATCACTGCCTCCAAGGGTTGAGTCGAATCTTCCAAATCTAAATTAAGAATTTTTAAACTTTGTGTCAAATACGACATTAACTACTAATAGTCGTACCGAATGAATTCATTCTTTCGCTTTCCGAAACGGATGAACTCGTTTTTCCTTTTAACGTCGCTGAAAAATTATTACTATCAAACATCCGGTCCGAAGAAAAAAATGGAAAAAAGCTGAAATCTAATTCTAAAAGAATTAGGGAGATTTATTAGCTACAAGCGATCCTTGCAATCAAGAACGCTTTCTCTTTGGATTATAGTCGACGATACTGACAATGGCTTAAACTGTTTCTGAACTACACTTACGTCAAACTGCGTTTTCCAAACCGAATAAACTCGTTTTTTCTCTTTTCCATTGCTGGCTCGCTATTGAAAGTGTGATCTGGAAACACTAAACTTTTCCTAGTGTTGGTAAAACAGCGCAAACTTTATATGAAAAAAACCTGTACGTTGAAGTATCTCCTGAACGGCAGACTTAAGAGCATCAACTTCGTTCTGAAAAGCATTCATATCTTATCCTTTTCTTCCAAGCTTGATGGCGCATCATATGTGTTTGAGTATCTATGTCTATGGGCTTATGTTTTCTCGACAAAAGCAATACATAATATAGTGTGATGAGTTGTCGCCAGTTCGCCAACCTGTCATTTCAGAGTGTAGATACTCATAAGAACGCCAGTTACAATAGAAACGCAATCTTTTCAGCAAAATTGGACTCCGCTCCGAATCTCATATGCAGTCAGAAGTAAACCTATGTCAAATTATAACATTTTTATAGTCGTACTTCCTGAGTTTTAATTGGTTAAAGGGCGAAATAGAAGTTTAATACAGCGGAAATTCTTATTCACGCGCAAGTAAAAATAGAAACCAAAACACAGCTCGTTTCAGAACGAAAGGAGCTTAAAAGTGCTAAATATTGTAGTAGTCGTGGAAAAGATGCTCATTCATGGAAATCTCTGGCACTTCATTTCATATTCATCCGTCTGAGCTTGTCATAGCACCGCACATCTAGCAACCTTCATGACAGCTAATCTCTTCTATGTTCAAAAATTAATTCTACACGTCCATCCTATCTTACGAACAATGACAAGCTCTTCTAGCAGAATCTCACTTCACAAGCTATACCAACTAAATTCCCCTATCTCCCATTGTCAATCCTTCTTTTCCTGCGACGTCTTCAAAGCAAAATTTCCTTTAGCATGTGCAATGGCTTCTAGCTAGAAAATAGTAAGGGGGAAAACGACAATGTAAAAAACGACATCTTTCGCATTACTCAACAACCGTTTCAACTTTACCGCATACGTCTTGTTACTAAAACTACCTCAACTACATTATATTCTCTGCCACTCGTTCTCACACCGTGGAAAAATTCCCTTCCACGGCACAGTTTGTCTAATACAAAGAAACTGGACTATGAAAGAATAGTGACCGAAACCTACGCACTTCGAGATTGCACACTCGACGACCCAATCCGTGTTGTTCCTCCGAGAATGAAGCAACGTCACATCCATAGCCGATGACACCACCAGCAAAGAAGCAGGTTCCCAACAGGACGAGAAGCATGCTAAATAGTAACAGAGTCCGTCTTCTCCTGCCTTTATTTAGTTCCCAAGTCCCGCCTTTGCCTACGGACAACCAATCAGGGACCAGCTCCTCAATTCTGAATGACACCACGCTTTCGTCTTTCTTCATTACTTCGCCTAACTATGCTATTTAACAATTCATGTGAGAATCACAGAGAGAACTTTAATCGTAACCTAAATTAAGGAAATAATTTTTTTGAATGTTTAACGAAACCTTTCCTGTTAAGCAACTGTCAGTCACTTATCGCCACGACACCTTCAAAGCTAGTACTGTAAATAGCACACGGTAGCTGGCAAATTACCGTACTTGAGCACCAGTTTGCTTACTCTCAAGTTGATTTGCCATATCCCTAATCCAATGATTATACTCGGAATTCCTCGTAGAAATACGAACCTAGAAGAAATACCGTTCTAAAAATTGTCGCAACACAATATCCAATCACAAGATTGCTGGGATATTTTCAAAACTCCAGATCGTAGGTGTCTGCGGTGGGGAACGAACGCGCTATTGTTCTTTCCGGGGAGTAACGCGTTCACCACCACACCATCCGGGTCCTTCGTTTCGCCTGTCTCTCAGCTAGTTGTATCGATCTGTGCCGTCAGAAATCACCCGTCAACGGGATTGACTTGGGATTGAACTAGCTGAGAGACAGGCGAAACGAAAGACCCGCATGGTGTGGTGGTGAACGCGTTACTCCCCGGAAAGAACAATAGCGCGTTCCAATCGACTCCAATCATGGACCATCGACTCGGATCATCGGCTCTGAGGAAGACGAAGACGTCGAAACGTTAGCCGAAAATAAATATATTTATCAACCTCGTGCAAGCTTATCAAGAAAGAATGCTTATTGATTAGTCACACCGAGGTTCAGGGAAAGTCGGTTTCGAAATATTACTACGCTTTGTGCTAGCTGATAAAACACCGACTTCTGCACGATGTCCGCAATGATGTATGTCCGGAAGAAATACAGGTTGTTACCACCGGACATTTTCATTATATATCCACCATCAGCATCGTGTATAAAAGGGCATCACTGAGTGAGGATGCCTCATTCGAGAAGATGGATCACTGAGGAAGACCTGGCTCGACACGAAGGCGAAACTGCAACGTCGAGACGAACAACAATCATGGACCATCGACTCGGATCACCAGCTCTGAGGAAGACGAAGACGTCGAAACGTTAGCCGAAAATAAATATATTTATCAACCTCGTGCAAGCTTATCAAGAAAGAATGCATAGCGCGTTCGTTCCCCACCGCAGACACCTGTGGTCCGGAGTTTTGCAAAGGTTTCAGCAATCTTGTGGTTGTATTTCACTTAATACCGTGCCATAAAAATAATAGAAGGCAGAAAATAAAAAGTAAACAATATCCAATGTTTTTTTACCACTCAATTTCTGGGCTCTTGAAGTTGTAACGGCAGCTTTATCAATTTACCACTTCAGTTGTGTGAGCTGCAAACGTTTGTAACCGTGGCAATGCATTCAAGATGACCACCCTTATAGCGAAAAGCATATATTCTAAGAAGCGATTGCCATACGGTAAATTCGACGCACCACACGTGAAAAGAGAACGTTGAAATTGTTAGTCGCCAAGACTCAAACTATAATCCACACAGGATGTTGTCGACACTTATTCACACTTCAAGATTGATAACGACACCTTACGATGGGCATCACTGGAGTACTTCAGCAATTTCTCGTACCTTCATATTTTGAACGCATGCCATCTTCCCATATAATGAAAAAATAAACAAATCATCCACTTATTGAGCCACTCCAGAGCGCAGATTATGGAAATAAGGAGAAAGTTTAAATACATGAGCCGTGAGAATAACAATTGGCCGAACACAATGGTCATATTTATTCCCTAAGTGTTCATTACAGCATCACTACTCATAATATCTGTATTTAAAACTAGTTGTACACAACCTTTAAGGATCAACAGTATTTCGGAATGTTATTGGCATTAATTCTATTAAATCACGTGATAGACTAAAAAATGTTGCACATGGTAACTAGCTCGAAATATTTAGCTTACATGTAAGCTTGTAAACAGAGTACAAAGGAAATTTCGCAAATAAATTATGCACACGAAAAAGAAAAGTGAATAAAGAAGGTGCTATGAACAGAAACCAATAAACAGAATAATTCAGTGGAAGTGTGAGAATCAACAACATAAAGGGGCATGGCTGTGGCGAGTTCTTAGAAAAAAAAACTAGCAACGCGATAATCCCAACAACACTTACGAAAAGTAAGTGAAATAAAATTAATTGCTGACTAGATTGTGTTATTACTCAATATTGTACAGAGAACAAATAGTAAAAATTCTTTGAGATACGTACTAACAACATCTATGCGGACTAGTAAACATCTAACAATAAACTATCTGGGCAAGAATGGAAAAACTATTCGAGAAATACGTTCCTACGAATTATAATAAACCATCTACATTACGCAACATTTGGACATAAGAAGAAAAACAAAGCTCACATTAAAATAAAGGACTAGATGAGATGTGTTATGTTGTAAACTGAGGGAAGCATGCGAAATTTCAGACTTGCGTCTGCACCACATGAAAACAGACGAAGTTGTTGGTCAATGTATAGTTGCTGAACACCCTGTACCGTTGATTGAGCAACTGAAAAACAATCCTCGAATGGATGGACATTACACAACAACACAGCAATAAAAAGTTAATTAAAAATTAATTATCGACTTCCATTACTTTTTAATACTTGTTGGTAAACTGGAAGCTTCTTACAAGTCATGTAACTTAGGTTGTTCGGAAACCAACATATGATTTGCAGTTTTATTCCTTTCATACATGTTTTAGCGATATTTTCTTTCTACCATTACTTTTTAAAATGATCCGTCCTCAAATCTACGGTACGGATCGCACCCTTCGAACATTTTGCGCGTTGTTTCGGCTGATGTTTGAGAATTTCGTCTTCTTTATGAACGTCGTAGAACGCTGGTTGAGCCAATTCTTTCTATGATCATAGAAACAGAAGGAATATGGTGTTGTTATGTACATTTGAAAAATGTTGATAAAAGGTCGAACAAAAGTCTTTGCTTCCTGATCGAAGCATCGCTAACCACCACGCTACTCCCACCTAATGCAGGTAAACTATGGAGCCAAGGAAGTGTAAACGAACACTCAGTGCGGTGTTTGCAGCAAAAATTTAAATGAAAAAGGTCATTGACGTCCTGTAATTGGCGATACCAGATAGAGGATTTGGTAGAAGCAAATACAAGTACAACTGTTCTAGAACTTCCCGAACTCAGTACAATCATCTTTACTGGTTAAAAGCATCTAATGGAAATATGAAAGTAGAAGAAACTAGACAAATGTCTCGCGAATTGGAAACACGTCACACTACAAACGCACGGCCACAGATCGCACAACAGATGCCGCAAAATTGAACAAGATCAGCAACGAAAGTTCGACTCATCCACCGCACTCACCTACCAGCTACCACCTCTTGAAGCACCACGACAACATAACTTCTACGATGCTGAGACATTTGCAAAACTCCGGATCGTGGATGTTGCGGTGCGGAACGAACGCGCTATTACTCTTTCCGGGGCGGGGGCTAACGCGTTCACCACCACACCATGCGGGTCCTTCGTTTCGCCTGTCTCTCAGCTAGTTCTATCGATCTTTTGCCACCAGCAACCACCAGTCAGCGGTACTGATCTGGGGAGCCCAAATCGGCATTGAACCCAGTTAAACTGAGGCTGTAATTATAAACACAATCTTAACCTTTTTATTTACTGCCTTCTCTTTTTAATGGAAGGATATGTTGCGAAATATAACTTCTACGATGCTGAGATATTTGCGAAATTCCGGACCGCAGGTGTTTGCAGTGGGGAACGAACGCGCTATTGCCCTTTCCTGGGACTAACGCGTTCACCACCACACCATGCTGGTCCTTCGTTTCGCCTGTCTCTCAGCTAGTTCTATCGATCACTGCCATCAGCAATGCCGGATAACGTTTCAGAAATAAACATATTAATACATTTACAAACCTTGTCTGAATGAGAATCCACCTTTGGCAGCGTGCTCGCCGGGAAGTGAGTACATCAATTGGGGGTTCATGTCAGCTGACCAAATCTATAATTATAAAAGGGTTTCCGAGAAAAGCCTTGCCTAGTAGCACGAATAGGAAGTGCACCTTAATATCACCATCACTTGATCCAGCTACAATCAGATCCTGCGTGTAATCAGTGACCAACGTCTTAACAATCTGATGAGATTCGAAGGCTTTTACAGTAGCACGCAGCTGACGTTGTCGAATATCCCACAAACACAAGTCGCCGTGCCGTCCACCGGATACTATTGCCTAGAAATCACCTTCTCGGTGTAAGCTGAAGGAGGAAATCTCGTAAAAACTTGACTCCTAACTTCCCTATGAAACTTCATAGTTCTCTATTCACCCTTCACATCCTGGGCATCCCAGGCAAAAACATAATGCACTTTAAACAGGGACTAACTGGATGAATGTAATTTAGAATCCCCAATACTACCAGGATTCAAACTCAGACTAATCACTAAAACAATGTCATAAATCACATGCTTCTCCTCAATCGAATACCTTTGTTCCGCAATATGAAAAGTTATAGTAGTTCAGGATCCAAGTTCTCGAATTTTCCATAAGACTACTTTGTTGCATGAATAGCAAAAAAAAGCAAAAAATCACAAAATAATTCAAATGAAGTACCTGTTGGCTCGGCAAGTACATCGCCACCGATGCTCCTTCATTGTGTGCGACCCATGAGTGAACTAAAGCACGGTTTTGTGGCAATAAAGTGTCCCATAGCGCCAAATTGAATTCTCCGGAAGAAGCACCAGCAGTTATTAACACTGATGAACTATGACCAAGAAATCGTACGTCTGACGCCGATTTGTTATGACATCGCTGACTCTGAATATACAGATGAAAGCTAAAAGGATAAAGCTCTCGGCGCTGATCATTCACTGAAGGATGCGCCATGAATTCGTCTACATTAAAGTATCGTTAGAGGTGACTGAATGCATATCTGGCCTTTCCAATAACTCGCGGTGGCCCGCCGATTTATAAAGCTAGTGGTGATATCCTCCCAGACAAGACTGGTACCAATTTGCCGATCCTGAAGGGATTGAGGGGTTGGTGGGCCTGGGACGCCGGGATCGATCCCATGTGTATGCAGAGGCCATCCGACTACTGCGCTACACGCGCCCAATATAGATAAGATTGGTATATTTAAAGACATTATATAACACTATTAGAAAGCATGACATTGAAATCAGAAAGGTTAGATCAGATATTTGGAGTGGTTGACCTACAAAAAACGGTTTTTTCAGTTCTGCCGAGCGACAAGCTTCCCAAAGACACATCATTCCATCACCGTCCACAGCTGCGAATTTGTTACCATTGCAAGAGAATGAGATCTTAGAAACCTAAAAAAACAAGTTCCTAAAATAATTTCTTACTTCCAATAGAATTATTTAACAACTACCTTAGCGTATTGACCGGCAACGCGGGCAGTATACACAGGTTGTCCAACACCCCATTCCCACACCCTTATCGATCCATCTGAAGATCCAGTGACATCTGAAAATTATTCCACTGTATTCAAGTAATGCAGACTGTTGTTATAGAATAGAACCATGGCACAGCATCGTGTCACTATATGGCTTACGAAATTGACTCACATAAAGGAGCATTTGGATGAGAATCGATACGGCGAATACCACTTATGGTTCTCTTGAACATCTGAAACATGAGTGGACCTGGCTTCCCAATACTCAAGAACTCATGCTGATAAAAACACAACATCATGACGAGGACCACCACACAACATCACTTACCTTATGAAGACCTTTTCTACTTCTATCAATGATCCATGGTGTAAGCTGCTAAGAATGATAAAATGGGTATAAGTGAAAAACATTGAATGACAATGAACATGTTCTACCATTGCAGCTGATTTTGGTGCTTGGTTTTGTTGAGTCGATCCCTCGGTAAACAATTGATAATCATCGGTTTCCTTGAGAGGATCGTGGCGAATAGGTAGGTTTACCTATGTAGGGAAAAATTTAAAGCTAATAGAAATAAATAATTAAGAAATACAAAGATGTTACACTTCGGAAGTTATAGTCGTACATCTAACTCAGTCCGGTTGTACAACCATGAAGATGCGTTGTTGCACTCTTCAAATATACCAGAAATATCCATTTCTTGCAACTCTCGACCAGTGGAAACCACTAACCAACCAGGTCTTTCCTAAGCGTTCAATTATATGATCCACCAAGAAGAGCAAACACATTGTTGAAAATCAATAATTTCTAAGCTTGGATCAAATTTAAAACACATTTGAATAATAAAAGAGAGCTAAACCCCAAGGAAACAGGGAATGGTATCATTTTCCGAGCATACCTGGTCACAAGCAAAAGCAACAATAGGTTCACTATCCTTTTGAATGATCTTGAAAGCATCAGGCAGCGGATGATTCTCAATAGTAGCCAAAGTATCATTCTTCTCGATTGGTTGCTCCTAAGTAGTAATCTCAAGTAATAGTTCAGCCAAAAAATCTCAGCACGCCAAACCGCAAAACTGGATCATTAACAGAACGTACCTGCTGGCCACGTGATGCAAAAATGTGACGTACGAACAAGGGTTGCAAGTTCTCTTGTCTAGTCAAATACGCCCACAGCCGCCGCAATGGACCTGCGCGAAGATCTTCAGACTCAAAAGGTGTATTGTGCTTCTCCGCTATGACCGCGTATTTCCTGTGAGAATTGGGCAAACTAGGAAATATCACTTATCAGAAAAAAATTTAACAGTAAGACTACTTCATTAGAGGTGAGTTCGCGTCCGCAATGTCGATGGTCATATTTGGTAGAAGATCAACCGGACAACCTCCACGATATGACTTCAAGCACTGCCGCAACTGTATTTCCCACTCATCCAAGAGCCGCAAAACAGTTTGAACTCGAGGAGCCACGCCAGGAATCTCTGAATGCACGTAATTCAATTACATACATATATATATACATATATATACATGTGTATACATATACATATATATATATATATACGTATATATGCACTAATGCGTTCAAAAGAAGGAAAAAACGATAGTCAACACAAGTTTAATTTCAGAAACAAAAAACCTGACAGTCAACGAAGGTTCTATATTTAAAATTTAATGCAAGAAAAAAAAGGAAGAAAGGAATAAAAAATACAAATTACCATTGGCATCAAACCCAGCGAGCACTAAGAAATGACGAATTTTGTAAATTTGCTGCTCCACTAGGGCTAAACGTATTAACTGCCATGCAAATGATGCCGGGTTTGCATTCTCACACCTGAAGTGTTACTCAGTCAGAAAAATACCGATGGCATGGAATGTGTACAGAAGTCAAACAAGGTGGAAGCAGACGACTTCTAGCAAAATACACATATTCTGTGCAAAACAACGACCCGATGCGAAATCGAAATAGATTCATTTACATCGGATTTAAAACATCGACTTTCACACCTTTAAAAAGCAATTTAAGTGGAAATTCAAAGAAAAAGTATGGTGGACTTATGTTACACTATTCAGCAGAACAAGGGATAAATAAAAACATACCGATCTTCCTCTAAGTCACTCGTTGTGCTTTTCCCCGATTCATCGTCTGAATCAAAGTCCACACCAAGTTCATCTTTGGAATTTATTGCTGGCTAAATTTAGAAACAAAAGAAGACATCGGACAAAATCAAGCGAATAAAATGGTACTCTGAGTAAAAATCAACCTTGTCAGCGAAAAATTGCACAATATTCTTTTGCGGCGGTATCCATTTCGTCACTGTTTGCTCAACAGCCGGTGATGTTTGACCGGAATGTGGACCGGACTGAGGTACATCCGCCCCAAATACCTGAACTTGAAAACCTAAACATTGGACGAGATTTGTTCATTGATACAGTAAGTGGTCTAAACTACTGAAAATACATAACCAGGATTCTATAGTCCCTATCCAAACTCCATAAACGAAACCTTAGCATGCAATTTAGAGCGCAAAGCCTCCGCATCAGGAACATTCGACGGTTTCCTTGTACGAGGAGCGGAGGGACCTGAAAAATGGTAAACTAGTAAACATATACACAGTGAAACAACCACAAATCAGAAGCACCGGAAGTAAAGCTTTAAATTTTCTAAACATTGGTACTAGTGTTGACACTGAACTTAACATATAAATACATAGTCATTCATTTCGTGGCTACTGTTATGACAAGGAAAACACATTAAAATAAAATTCACACTACGGCTTCACATTACATTATAAAGGATAAAGGATAAAGACCTTGGCGCTGATCAAATCCTAAGGGATGCGCCATGCATTCGACGTCGTTAAGCATCGTTTGGAGGTGATTGAATGCATATATGGCTTTACAATGACTCGCGATGGCCTACCGATGTATCAAGTGTTTCTATACTTCCAGGCAAGTATGGTACCAATTTTCCCACCCTGGAGGGAGAGAAGGCATGATGGGAGACGGCCACGGAGATCGATAACAAGTATGCCGCAGGGGACCTCCGACTACTGCGCCCCCACATTATCAAATTAAAATATTAAGCACAATCTTAACTCTTTTATTTACTGCCTTTTTCTTCTTAATGGCAGGGTATGTTGTGAAATATAACTCGTATGAAGTGCTGAGATATCTCAGCACTTCATACGAGATATAAAATATTAAGGTTGAATAACGTACGAGGTGGTCGAACAGGCGGTCCAAGTCGCACTTTCTTCTCCCCTCCTCCACCAAATATGAGGGAAAACTGCATAGCATCCATCTCATGTGCAACTAACCGATACAACCATCTCGAATCGTAGACGGCAAGTGCGAAACAAAACAGTGACCTAATTAATAAATTACATACAAAAATAAAGTGATAACAGGAAGGTACTGAATATAATGATAATTAAAAAATTTCACATTGTTATGGCGATAAAGCATTCCGCTAAAACCTGTCGAAGGTGAGGGGTTTCATCGCCTTTCTCCCGACTCAATAATGCAACCTTAAATTTCTAAACTAGTACGTGAATAATAGGGATTGCCGTCAGAGCTATAAGCATTTACGCGAACACATTTAAAATCAAACCAACCAAATTATTAACACCCGGCCATTTATCAGGTGCTGTTGATATCCGAACATCATCAGTGGATGTGTGTCCCCGAATTCTTCGGGTTAACGCACTAAAAACGAGTGCTTTTGCATAAAAAGATTGGAAGATATTAAGTGGTATGAAGAGTGTCAGCAGCAGTGTTTGGGTCCGGTAGACGGGACAAAAATTGATGATGAACCCAACGCACACAATCATGAAAAACTAACGTAAATTGGTTAGTTAATTGATACAAAGATAAATAAAGACAAAAGTTTCGTTTGTAACGCTAAAGAAATGATCTTTGCCTTCTAATACTGCAACGCCAACAGATTATTTCACTAGAAACATATGTCGATTCAATGTATACGAAAAGCTGCGATCACGTTACAGCTATACCTCAGTTTCTTCTCCGAGCGCATTGCTGAAGGAGCAATAAATTGGTCCATGTCACACAAAGACTGGTATAAGCTTGAAGACAGTCCTTGACTAAGATTATAGAGTTTGTAAGCCTATAAAGCAAAAATAATGAGGCAAATATGAACACAATATGAAACAGCATGATATGATTACCTTTTGCAAATGGTTATCCATATCTGGGACGGTAGTTAAATCAGCAATTGAGGTCAGAAGATCATAGCACTGATTTTCAATGAACGAGAGCGGAGACGAAACGAACATTTTTGCCGATGACGCTGATGCCACAAGCAGAGGAAACGAATTCGTATCCAAAACTGATTCTAAACGAAAGGCATCACTAAAATAAAACAAGGCCAAGTCGAAATAATGAACTGACCACTCAGATGTTGAACTCCTGTGTCTTTTTGAATTTCCAGTAGAAGTAGGAGTAGTTCCATTAACGCAGACGTAAGACGATGGTTCTGCGCAGAATGAAGAGAACAGTATGAAGTGAACGATCTGAAGAATATGCCTTCTTCACAAACAAGTCAGAAAAGCACACACTTATAAAACTGTACAACAGAAAAAATAAGAAGCCAGTTGAGAATTATACGAAAAAATCTGCATGGTGTACTGCACTGAGCTTTCTAAAAAAAACATCCACAAAGATGAAGCACCTGAATTGAAGCTTTAGTAGAAATAGAGTTACATATTTCAGCATCCTCCCAACGGCTTGCCGGATCGTCATGGCTGGAAGGTGTTCCTGGGTGTCGGACTGCGATGTAAAAGGGAGAAATTCATCTTCTACGCGGAGAGTCTCCCAAGCTGAGGAGCCTGGTGCATCTATCGGGAAGCTCACCTAAGACTAAACCAATACCAGGCTCCACCAGCGCCCTGGTATCAAAGTCGCATGGTAACAAAGCTCCCTCTGACCGACGACTGCCAGTGGTGGTGAAGACCTGGGGCAGACTTTGGCCTGGCTGACCTCGGAACTCTAGAGAAACACAATGGTTAAAGCAGCAAAACTCCGAAAAATGGAGATTATGCCGGGGAAAGCACAACGAGTGACGATGGGCCATCCAAGCATCCAAGTAAGTATATTTCAGTATCAGACGTGCAATATAATTAAATATTAGTAGGGGTTGAAAAATTAAAACGGCTTAGGGATGCCTAGTAAGATAAACGCA